CATGGACGTGGTGGGCGATGTGGACGTGCAGGGCAAGTTGGACGTGGGCCAAGACGTGATCGTCGACGGCGAAGCGATCATGAAGAGCAGCGTGGACGTTCGCGGTCGCATGAGGGTGCGCGGCGTCGATGTTCCGAACGGCATTGTAGCAAGAACGGCGAGCGAGAGGGGAAGCAGCGCCGACGCCGAGGGCGAAACTGATTACGACGCTGAAAGCGACGGCGGCGCGGCCATCGATGAGGCTGGTCAAGATCGCCCCTGGACTCGCTCCGTTACCCCCCAATCCGACCTTTCCCGCGATGCGACAGTTTGGCCTGGCGACGGCGTCGCCGTTCCTGTCCCGGATTGGGGATATGTGCATGACGCGCTGGCTGCCCGTAGCCAGGTTTCTGAAGCGGAGGTGGACGTTCGGAGCGAGGGCACCATCGTCGCTGGTCCGTCCGGTTTGCCACAAGACCCGTTGTCGCATGTTCCGCCTGTGCCTGTCGCGACGGACGTCGATATGGACGAGCGGCCGGCGCGTCCGGGACAGGATATGGATGCATCCAGGGCCGACGTCTCTGGGGTAGCGGGCCTCGTCACGTCGCCCGCAGACAAGGCTCCCCGACGTTCTACACGTCAGGCAGCTCGTGCCCAACGAGGCGAGGCGGTTGGGAACGATGCGGCCGAAGACTCGGAGGGCGAGACGGCCGGTACCGATAACAAGCGAAGCAAGTCGACGCGCCCTGGTGCATACAAGAAATTTAAGACCGGGAAGGAGTGACATACATCTCAATGATAGCCGGACGGAACGCTCGTTTCCTTCTCTCTCTCTCTCTCTCTCTCTCTCTCTCTCTCTCTCTCTTTCCTCTTTTTATAAACTGGATACGCGGAATTGTCCAACACTCCTTCACAAAACTTATGACGACCGTTCATGTATCTGGTATACGATGGGTCATCCAAATCAAATCCGTGTTGTCCATCCGATCCGATGAAGCGTCTGGCAGAGGTGCGGAATGGCCATTGTATGGCTCGCAGTTGCCCGTCGCGAGAGCGAACCGCGCCACCCGTAGGAGGAGCTAGCCTAGTTTCAACTGATGCTTGCGAAGCCCTTAGCAACGCCCGTCCCAGCCAAAATGGGAGTCGTCCGAAACACAGCTGATATTTCACCACAACGTACATGCGATGTCTATGAGGCCACAAGCGGCGCCGAAAGAGTTGCTCGCTCTACGTGCGAGCTTGCACTCAAGATCCTTTACCCTGCCCTCTGCGTTGCCGAGATCCCCGGCTCAGCCCATGGGCTCAGGTTCACGCGTGCCAGACCTTGGCGATCAGCTCGGTAAGGCCTGTGCACAAACGTCAGTTGGGTTCTCACATGGGAAGGAGGCGGCTCACCAATGTCGTTGGTGTTGAACTGGTAAACGCCGACCAGGACACCAACGGTCGTTGCGCGGAGGGTCCATGACACGAGCGGCCCAAGCTTGGGGAACTTGCGCGGGTGGAGGTAGTCCACCACGATGGAGTCGAACTAACATGAGCGACCAGCGTCAGTGCTCTGCACTCCCAAATCACCCGGTACCCCGTGATGGACACGGTAGAAAGAGACATTGGGAGGTTGGAAGGAGCGAATCGTGACTTACGCCAATGTGAGAGTGCATGACGAGTGAGACGCCGAGGATGCCGTCGAGGAGGGGGTACTGAGTCGGCGAAACGACGAAAGCGGCGACCGTCAGTGGGACGAGGCCGGCAGAGAGCAAGCGCTCAAAAGCCCTATTATAATCGACGGTTATCAGAAACCGCATGCGCATGAGGTCCGATCGACCAACAAACATACCAGTGGTATGAGCCGTGGGTCTTGGAAGGCGGAGGGAAGGGGAGGCCATCGTTCACGGTGCCCCGGATGATGGCTACAACGCATCAAGGTTCAAGTTTGTTTCGTATTGAGGGTGGATTGAACTCACGTCCACCAGGGACATATTCAGTGCTGCTGGAGGCCGCGTTTCGTCGTGCTGAATGTTCGACGTCCAACCAGATCGTATCGTGCACCGCCCGAGCAAGCGAGATTTTTGTGTCAGAGCGTTCGCAGTGAGCCAAGCGCCGGGTTAGACGCACATTGCAATCCATGAGCAGCAGCGACCCTCCTAACAGCCGCGCGCGCCAAGGCGTTGTTGATGTGCGCGTTGCGCGCGAACGTCTTCTGGATCAAGCCCGCGGACATGATGCGTATTTCCTCAGGCTACCCGACAAGTACTGGAGAGTTAGGCCAAGAGAAGAGGGGAACGAGGATACAGGAATATCAACTGAGCGAGTGCGGAGGTCCAAGGGGGGGAGGAGACCGGAGAGACCCGCCAGCCAATCACATGCTTGCTGTTTCCGGCAGTGCACCGCCACGTTCTCCCCTCTGACGCTCACGAACGACACTCAGCGCAGCGGGAAAGGACAAGACAGACAAATCAGTGTTCAGCACGACAAACTCGAGCAAGGCTGCAGGTATACCGAGAATATCATGCATGTTTGGTTGTCAACCTGAACCGGATCCTCAATGCATGAAAACTGGGCAGTTGAATTTCACCTGTTCTCAACGCCCCCGTGAGGCCTCTGCCAGACTCATTCATTGGGTGGACAACACGGATTTGATTTGGATCAGAGCCATATCGTATACCAGATACATGAACGGTCGTCTTCATTCGTGTGAAGGAGTGTTGGACAAGTCCGTGTGTCCAGTTTATAGGAAGAGGAAAAAGAGAGAGATAGAGAGAAAAGGAGACGAGTCTTCCGTCCGGCTATCATTGAGATGTATGTCACTCCTTCCCGGTCTTAAATTTCTTGTATGCACCAGGGCGCGTCGACTTGCTTCGCTTGTTATCGGTACCGGCCGTCTCGCCCTCCGAGTCTTCGGCCGCATCGTTCCCAACCGCCTGAGCATGAGCTGCCTGACGTGCAGAACGTCGGGGAGGCTTGTCTGCGGGAGACGTGGCGAGGCCCGCTACCCCTGTGATCGGAGAGACGTCGGCCCTGGATGCATCCATATCCTGTCCCGGACGCGCCGGCCGCTCGTCCATATCGACGTCCGTCGCGACAGGCACAGGCGGAACATGCGACAACGGGTCTTGTGGCAAACCGGACGGACCAGCGACGATGGTGCCCTCGCTCCGAACGTCCACCTCCGCCTTGGGAACCTGGCTACGGGCAGCCAGTGCGTCGTGCACATATCCCCAATCCGGGACCGGAGCGGCGACGCCGTCGCCGGACCAAGGTGTCGCATCGCGGGAAAGGTCGGACTGGGGGGTAACGGAGCGAGTCCAGGGGCGATCTTGACCAGCCTCATCGATGGCCGCGCCGCCGTCGCTTTCAGCGTCGTAATCGGTTTCGCCCTCGGCGTCGGCGCTGCTTCCCCTCTCGCTCGCATTTCCTGGTACACTGTCGTTCGGAACATCGACGCCGCGCACCCTCATGCGACCGCGAACGTCCACGCTGCTCTTCATGATCGCTTCGCCGTCGACGATCACGTCTTGGCCCACGTCCAACTTGCCCTGCACGTCCACATCGCCCACCACGTCCATGTCGCCGTTCAACTTAACGTTGCCAGTGACAAGGACGTCGCCTCGAACGACGAGGTTTCCGCTGACCACCAGATTGCCAGGGATGTTGCACTCCCCGTGGTAATGACGTCCGCGATAACGGTCAGCGTTAGCTTCCTCGGGGACGAGAGTTTGGTCGTTGGCGTCGTTCTCCTTGGCCTCACTGTGGTCCTCGTCGCTGTTGCCGGAAGCATCGCGTTCCGTCGATTGATACGAGTCGGGCTCGTTATCGTCCGCGTCGCCGCTCCGATTGCTGATATTGTCAGAAACGTGATCCCGTTCCGTCGATTGGTAGGACTCGACATCTGACACAGAGGAGTTCTCCATCGAGACCTGCTCTGTTTCGACGTTCTGTTGCGAGAGGAGGTTTGCAACCAGGGGGTCATTGTAGGAGAGCATGTCCAGAAGTCGATTGTTGATCATCCATGGGTCATTCCGTGCAGACACCAGGGTCGTGCGCTCTGCGTAGGACTCCTTCAGTAAGCCTCTCAACAACTCCTCAGCTAGATATATACGTCAGCGCCCGCAACCTCGGACCATAGACGAGAAAGGATTACCCGAATGAGGATTGCCAGGTTCCTTGATATCTTCCATATTGACTTTGTCAATCCGCGACTTCCTGGCCCAAATTTGTTGCTCGAAAGTGGCACGAGCATGGGATTGCGGGATCTTGAACGGTTCCTTAGCGAACAGCCTAGAGATCGTCATGTTCCGAAGATTTCGATGATGCGGGTGTATACTGACACATAGAACAGGATCGCTCCGACCCCGAACGCCTCGCTGGACGCGTTATAGTGATTATTCAATACTTCTGGTGGAGCCCAAGCAGCGGTTCCTGTCTGGGGCTGTAGGAAGAGTTAGCTCGCGGTGCCATTATATGATGAACGCTCGTACATATCGACGCTCGTCGTCTTTCGGCTTAAGGACCGAGTTGCTGAAGTCGCATAACTTAACCGTTATCGCCTCGGGAGTGTTGCCGAATACAAGAACGTTCTGTATGGTATTAGCATGAGACGGTATGAACAGAAGCGACAAGGACTACCAACGCACCGCGGGATTGACATCGCGATGGAATACGCCTCTGCAATGTATGTACTATAGAAATCGATTTAGCCCCTGCATCGGATTGCGCGAGAAATTTACCTCGAGGCCATCGATGATCTGCTTCACGACGAGGCGAGCGAACTCTGGGTCTATGGACGATTCATTGTTAGGGATAATGACTTCTGCACCTATATCACAACTTACAAAGCGATCCGTGTCTTTGGATATACTGGTGCAGATCACCTTGCGGCGCTACGGGCGTGACCACACCTTCTATACTGTTAGCCGCAGAGCCCGGATCAACACGTTAAAATCAATGTACTGACAAATTTGTATGAACGCTTTGATGCCCTGCTTTTCTTCGACCCCTTGGTTCCCTTCGGCATACCAGTGCACAAAAGGGGTTATGTTCGGGTGGCTAAAGCTCTTCCACACGCTCAGCTGCATGGCGGCCCGGTCTACGTCAGCGCGTCCCACGGTAACGTGTTTGACTGCCACGGCGCAAGACATGCTCGCTCCCTGGCCAACCCGGATCGCTGCGCGCGCAACCACTGGAAGGACGGTAAGCAAGGACCACAATTCGGAAGTGCTACTGCTGACCCCCTTGATTTCCATTCTTCATTTGCGACTCAATGATGCCGTATAGAGGGGCGTGCGATGGGGCCTCAATCTTGTCAAGACTGCGATACATATATCCTGATAGATGGACCGATACTTATGAGCCACCAATCACGGTTTCAGCGACAGTCGCGCACTTAGACCGTCAATGAGTACAATGGCGTTTTCTGATAGCGGAAACGGGAGATTGAGCTTCAACGACCTGTCATTGACCTATGGGGTTGTTGAGACTCTGGTAGGAAATAGAGGAGGGTTGCACGCACGCTTATTCGGGCAGGCTTCGCGATCTGGGTGATTGTCATTATGTCCCGACCTTCAACCGTGATCTGCTCAACCTTGGCTAGAACAGGAACTCGGGTTTCCACTGAAACGTAACAGGTTGTCAGAAATCTGGCTGCTTCTGGGCCCGGGCTTTACTCACCTGGAGTCGGATCAGCACGAAGCCTTCGAAATTCACCACTGCGGTAGATGGACCATTTGGGCGAATCCGATGTGAACGTCACATCCGGGAAGCCTGCCACACAAGAGCGCAGGTAGGCACGGTTCCATTTCCGAAGAAGTAACTCTTTGTTGCGGAAGTAGTCAGGACTCTCGAGAAGTTCCGGCCGTTCCGGAGCGAGGTATGGTTCGGATGCCATGTTCGTAGCTGGGATGTTGGAGGATGCAGTAGCAAACGAGAGAGACAAACTCGCGCTCCTTTATAGGCCTGGCGACGTTGCATTGCCGAGGGCCACATATTTACGGTGGCCTTGTCTCTGATTGTGTCCACAATGCAATCGGGGGTGGAGTTCGAAGTCGTGATGGTGGTGGTGGCATTGTCCAAGAAGCTGCGTGGCAAAGATGATTTCTACTGCAGCGCTGAATCCTATGGATTGAGTACATACCGACGACGCGATCGTAAACATTCTGTGCGGCTGCGCAGGCACAATCCAGTCTTCGACGTTGAACGATTGTGTATGAAATCTACAATGAGTATTACATGACGATACCGCTCGCGACAGACAGAATATGGTTAATCGTCGTAAGTAATCCATGCCTGTAGCGGGATGGGTTCGCTACACGTCCCGTTTACGATGTTGGGATCGGCTTCGCTGTCTGAGGGTCTGACCTCCAGTTCTTCGACAGGCACCCACCGATAATAGTCGAGTACCAGATGTCGCCATCCCCTAATGTCTTCATCCCATTCGACCATCTCGTCCCTTGCGGCATTGACGAAGACAGGCGACCCATCCTCAAATCCCTCGTGACGGGTCGACGTCACGCCAACAACCCACAATGGTAACGAGCGCATAGCCCTGGTGAGGCACTTCTCACATCGCCCCATCTCTACGTGCCACCCTTCCAACGCGTCGAAAACCTGCGGAGGGATGTTTCGAAATTGGGTTCTGGGCTGCTTTGCAAACACCCTGCGGCGTCGCGGACAGCGCGATACAGGCAGCGTGGCCTCGATGGCGTGGCCTCCGTTCCGGTTGTCATAGTAGAGCTCACACTCGACGATGCTCTCTCGCTTGAGCCATCGGATCTCATTTGGGTTGTCATCTTCTTCCAACGGGTATTCGGTCCAGTCTCGAAACGGTAGACCCTGCGAATCGACGCCAACGCGAGGTCTGGGCCGCAGAAATTTCGTTTTGGCGATGCGTCTCCGTTGAACGCGAGTTGGTCGGCATGTGCAACCACCGATGTTCCCCAGGTCCGGAAGGGCCTTGACAGAAGCACGGCGGTCTGTAACGGAGTGTGACCCGCCGGTATTCTTTGAACCAACCAAATGTGTCGCTCTTGAGGCAGCAATGCCGGTCTTGACATTGGGTGGATTCTGGATCGCGGATTGTATAGGTCTGAGATCTTGAAGCGAGGCGTCACCACCGATATGGTTGCTGATATCAGTAGCGTTAGCAAGTGAAAATCAGATAGTGCGATGGTGGACATACGGTGTAGGTTTAACCGTATCGCTCCTCGAGACCTCCTCGCGTGAGGATGCAGTCGGGCGAGAGATGCTGATCATATTGATGTCCTGTACAAGGTTCTTAACACTGGCAGCAGCTAGCGTTATCGTCTCATGCGTCTCCGCGACGAGTCTCCGGGCGTCTTCGGCCTCGCACCGCATCTTATGCACTTCCGCCGCCATACGTCTGGTACGCTTTCTCCTTGGCCCCGATGATGGGCGCGATACTGTCGTCTTCACTGGCGGCACATCGTCCGCGCGACGACGCTTGCGACTTTCTTTGGCAATGTCGGGAGATCGAGGTCGTTTCTGAGCTCGCGCGGCGCGAGGCGGGTTTCTTCGGACGGCTGGCGCGGCGTCGGTCGGTGCAGCGGATGCACCGGTTCGTGGTTCTAGGTGGCGGTGAGCACCTCGTTCACTTAGACTAAGAAACGATGGTATCATGCTCACCAGTGGTATGAATAGGTTTTAGCTCTCTCCGAAGGCTGGTGACTGCATCGCACCAGCCCGCATACGCAGATGCACGACGTTCGGGTGAACGAGCTGCGCTCGATGTGGTAGTGTGAGGTTGTGGCTCCATCGCGGACATAAGTCGTGGACGCCGTTTTAAGTTGAGTAAGGAAACGGTTACTCTAGCACAGTTCAGAGAACACAGTCAAGCTGCAAATGAGACGCAGAAGGTACCGTTAAGTTGTTGTGCAGAGAGTCAAAGTCAGACATCAACGGTGTAAGTTCATTGAGTTGCACGTGACTACCGCATATAGGCGGCGCCGAGGCCGTCGGGTTGCAACGTCCTGATCGTGCAGCTAGATATCTCACTATGTCCCTAGTATGCTCGACGCCGTCAAAATTCTCCAAAGATTGGCGCATGAAAGTTCCCGGAAATACGCACGCGACATCAAAGCAAGACGAATTCAGCGAGACCGCGCCGCCGTTCCGTCCGCAGAACCGGTGAGGCATCTGACACAACACAGTAGTGCAGGCATATATTGGGAGCCGACTCGCATACTGCGACTCGTCAGTGTGAAGCCGCTTACCTGGCCATATCTCTCAGCCTTCGAGCGAGCGCACAGGTGAATTTCATTTGTTCTCAACGCCCCCGTGAGGCCTCTGCCAGACTCATTCATTGGGTGGACAACGCGGATTTGATTTGGATCAAAGACCTATCGTATACCAGATACATGAACGGCCGTCTTAAGTTTTGAGAAGGAGTGTCGGACAAGTCCGTGTGTCCAGTTTATAGGAAGAGGGGCGAGTGGGAAAGCCAAAGAGAAGGAGAAAAGGAAACGAGCGTTCCGTTCGGCTATCATTGAGATGTATGTCACTCCTTCCCGGTCTTAAATTTCTTGTATGCACCAGGGCGCGTCGCCTTGCTTCGCTTGTTATCGGTACCGGCCGTCTCGCCCTCCGAGTCTTCGGCCGTATCGTTCCCAACCGCCTCGCCTCGTTGGGCACGAGCTGCCTGACGTGTAGAACGTCGGGGAGCCTTGTCTGCGGGCGACGTGACGAGGCCCGCTACCCCAGAGACGTCGGCCCTTGATGTATCCATATCCTGTCCCGGACGCGCCGACCGCGGTACGGTGATCTAGACCAATATGTCAAAAGTAAGGGATCGCTATGTGAGTCGTGCCACATCCGTAGAAGTCATTGTCGCTGACAACGAACCCGTCTATAGCCCCAGAGTTCGCTCGCATCGTCCTGAAGCAGATCATCGACGGCCTTGAGGTAGATTTATCGCACACCAATCCGGTGCAAGGGCTAAATCGTTTTCCATAGTACATCCATTTCAGAGGCATATTCCATCGCGATGTCAAGCCCGCGGTACGTTCCTGGTCTTCGTTGCTGCTGTTCGCAACGTCTCATGGTGATATCACACAGAACGTTCTTGTATTCGACAAATCTCTCGATGCGATCACAGTCAAATTATGCGACTTCAGCAAGTCCGTCCTTAAGCCGAAAGATGACCAGCGTCCATATGTACGAATGCTCACCGTGATTTAGCATCGCGACCTAATTCTGCCTACAGCCCCAGGAAGGAACCGCTGCTTGGGCTCCACCAGAGGTCCTGAGCCATCACTACAACGCGTCCAGCGAGGCGTTCGGGGTCGGAGCGATCTTGTTCTATGTGTGAGTATACACCCTCATCGTTGAAATCATCGGGAAATAATGCCGATTTTTCAGGATGTTTGCTAAGGAACCGTTCAAGATCCCGCAATCCCATGCCCGTGCCACTTTCGAGCAACAAATTCGGGCCAGGAAGTCGCGGATTGACAAAGTCAATATGGGAGATATCAAGGAACCTGGCAATCCTCATTCGGGTAATCCTTTCTCGTCTATGGTACGAGGTTGTGGGCGCTAACGTATATATTTAGCTGAGGAGCTGTTGAGAAGCTTACTCAAGGAGTCCTGCGCAGAGCGCGCGACCCTTGTGTCTGCACGCAATGACCCATGGATGATCAACAATCAACTCCTGGACATGCTCTCCTATAATGACCCCCTGGTCGCCGACCTCCTCTCAAGAAAGCACATCGAAACAGAGCAGGAATCGATGGAGACCTCCTCTGTGTCAGATACCGAGTCCTATCAATCGACGGAACGCGATCATGTTTCCGAAAATAGCAGTAATCAAGGCGGCGACGAGGACGACAACGAGGCAGACTCCTACCAATCGACGGACCGCGATGTTTCCGATCATAGCGACGAGGACCACAGCGAGGTCAAGGAACACGGCGCCAACGACCAGATTCCCGTTCATGACGGTGATGACGTCGAACCTTATCGCGGGCGTCATTACAACGGAGATTGGCACATCCCTGGCAATCTGGTGGTCAGCGGGAACCTCGTCGTTCGGGGCGACGTCCTTGTCACTGGCAACGTTAAGTTGAACGGCGACATGGACGTGGTGGGCGATGTGGACGTGCAGGGCAAGTTGGACGTGGGCCAAGACGTGATCGTCGACGGCGAAGCGATCATGAAGAGCAGCGTGGACGTTCGCGGTCGCATGAGGGTGCGCGGCGTCGATGTTCCGAACGGCATTGTAGCAAGAACGGCGAGCGAGAGGGGAAGCAGCGCCGACGCCGAGGGCGAAACTGATTACGACGCTGAAAGCGACGGCGGCGCGGCCATCGATGAGGCTGGTCAAGATCGCCCCTGGACTCGCTCCGTTACCCCCCAATCCGACCTTTCCCGCGATGCGACAGTTTGGCCTGGCGACGGCGTCGCCGCTCCTGTCCCGGATTGGGGATATGTGCATGACGCGCTGGCTGCCCGTAGCCAGGTTTCTGAAGCGGAGGTGGACGTTCGGAGCGAGGGCACCATCGTCGCTGGTTCGTCCGGTTTGCCACATGCCAGCCTGCTAGACCCGTTGTCGCGTGGTTCGCCTCAGCTTGTCGTGACGGACGTCGATATGGAAGAGCACTACAGGTGTAACCACGCCTTGGGCAATATTAGTCCCAAGGCACGTTCTAACACAGTGAGGTTCATGCACTGACGAATGAGCATGGATGCTTTGGCTGTCGTGGTTGGTCCGATCTCGTCGTCGTCGGCGATATCTTCGGCATACCAGGACAGAAAGGGCGTTATGTTTGGATGGCGAAAGTTCTTCCAAACGCTCAGTTGCATGGCGATCTGGTTCACGTGAGTGGGTCGCACGGTGAGACGCTGAAGTGCCACAGCGCAACTCATTCTCGCCCCCTGGCCAACCTGAAACGCTGCGGCCGCGATGTCTGGAAGGCCGGTAAGCGAAGATCACAACTGGGTACTGCTACTACTCACCCCCTTGACCTCCAATAGCAACCTGCGACTTGACGAGGCCATATTGAGATGGGGCGTGAACCTTCTCAAGACTGCGGTATGCATATTCTGACGGAGGGACAGCATACATGAGCCACGAGTTATTCCTAAAAAACGCTTGCGCACTTAGGCCGTCAATGAGGACGATTGCGTTCTCTGACAATGGGAAGGGAACATCGAGCTCTAACGATTGGCCATTGACCTGTGCGGTTGGTCAGACTCCGATAAGAAACGGAGGTGGGTTGCACGCACATATATCTTGGCAGACCTCGCAATCCTGGTGATCGTCATTATTTCCCGACCTCTATCAGATACTCTCTCAACTTCAGCCAGAACGGGAAGTCGGGTTTTCACTGAATTACCACCATCCGTGAAAACCCAGTTGCATTCACATGTAGACTTCACTCACCTGGACTCGGCTCGGCGCGGGGCCTTCGAAATTCACCACTGCGGTAGATGGACCACTTGCTTGGACCCGATGCGAACGTCACATCGGGGAAGCCTCCCCCGTAAGAGTGCAGGTAGGCACCATTCCAGTTCTGAAGAAGTGACTCTTTGGTGTGTATATAGTCAGGAGTTTGGAGGAGCTCCGGACGTTCCGGGGTGATATACGGTTCGGATGCCATGTTCGTGGCTGGAAGGTTACGGGTTACAGCGGCAACCGAAACACGCCGGATCGCGCTCCTTTATACGTCCAGGGACGTTGCAATGCCTAGGGCCGCACGTCCTTCATGGCCTGTTGTGCCCTCTTCCACAGGACAATCACGGGTGGCGTTTAGCGAGCGTGGTCGCGATCGTGGTGGCCTTGTCCAAGACGCGGTGGCCTTGTCCAAGACGTGGTGGCCTTGTCCAAGAGGCTGGGTGGCGCGCGGTGGGTAGTATTGAGCTGATTCGACTGATGTACCGAACGATGCAGCGCTGTGGGTTGTCGAGCTGAGTGCGTACCGACAATGCGACAGCATTCTATTGAGACACTCACGAGCTTTCTTGACCTCCCCTGGCATACTCTCGATAGGCAGTAGGTGCAGCATTCGCGGCGCTAGTGCTGTATAGCATATCTCTGAACAATCTGTCTTTCCATCGCTGTGCTTGGATCTCGGCCACCTGTGCTGAACGTAGGGAACCGGGGAGATCTTCGCAAATGGTGATACAGTGAACGATGCGCCGTGGGCGCCGGCTTTGGACCATGATATCGACGTAGAAACTGATCTGCAACGGGGGCTTTGGCGCCGAAGGATAGGTGACTCGCTGCAGCTGGCAGTCATCCGAGGAGGGAATGAATTGGCGATGGGATTATGTAACGCTGGGCTCGTCCCAAACTCCCCAATAGGCAGCAGGCCGCGCCAGAACGACCGTCTGCTTGAAGGGATAAAGGCGGTTTACGAACCTACATCGACAGTCCAGGTTGTTTCAATTGTGTACAGCTGGGTCTACGATATTGCATGACAGTAACGCTCGCAGCAGAAAGAACATATTCAACCCTCGGAGGGAATCCAACCCGGTAGCGGGATGGGCACCTTAACCGTCCCATTTACAATGTTGGGATCGGCCGCTCTGTCTGAGGGTCTGACCTCCAGTTCCTCAGCAGGTATCCACCGATAATTATCGAGTACTGAATGTCGCCAGCTCCTAATATCGTCGTCCCATTCGATTATCTCGTTCTTCCCGGCGTTGACGAAAATAGGCGCTCCATACTCATATCCCTCCGGCAAGGTCGACTTCACGCCCACAATCCACAACGGGAACGACCGCATGGCCCTAACGATGCAATCCCCGCATCGCCCCAACTCTAAGTGCCACGCTTCCAGCGTATCGAGGATATGCGGAGGGATGTGTCGAAATTGGATTTCGGGCTGCTTCGCGAACGTCCTGCGACGTCGCGGATACAGCGCTACCGGCCGCGTAGGTTCGAGACTGTGGTTTATATTGTGATTATTGTTATCATCGTAAAGGTGACGCTCAATGATGCTCTCTCGCTTGATCCATCGGATTTTGTTCGGGTTGTCATCTTTTTCAATCGGGTAATCGCTCCAGTCTTGGAACGGCACACCCTGCGCGTCGACGCCAATGCGAGGTCTAGGCCGCAGGAACAGCGTCGTCGTTCTGTTGATGCGTCTCTGTTGATCGGGAGTCGGCCGGCATGTGCAACCATCGATGATCCCTAGAGCAGAAAGGGCCTTGACCAGAGCACGGCGGTCTGTAGCGGAATACGACCGGCATATATTCGTTGAACCAACCAGCTGCGTCTGTTTAAAGGCAGCGATGGCGGCTTCAATATCAAGTGGTTCCTTGTTCACGGATTGCCCGGGTCTGAGGTCTTGAGACGGGGCGTCACCACCGGTATGGTTGCTGATACCATCACATTAGCTGGTAGAAAACAAAGGGTGGATTGTGAACCTACGGTGTAGGGTTTGCAGTATCGTTCCTAGAGGCCTCCTTGTGCGAGGATGTAGTCGGGCGATAGACGCTGATCGTATCGATGTCCTGTACAAGATTCTTTACACTGGCAGTAGCTAGCGTTATCGCCTCATGCGTTTCCACGACGAGTCTCCGGGCGTCTTCGGCCTCGCATCGCATCTTATGCACTTCCGCCGCCATACGTCTGGTACGCTTTCTCCTTGGCCCCGATGATGGGCGCGATACTGTCGTTTTAAGGGGTGGCGCATCGTCCCCGCGACGACGCTTGCGATTTTCTTTGGCAACGTCGGGAGATCGATGGCGTTTCTGAGCTCGCGCAGCGCGAGGCGGGTTTCTTCTGACGGCTGGCGCGGCATCGGTCGGTGCAGCGGATGCACGGGTTTGCGGCTCTAAGTGGCGGTGAGCACCCCGTTCACTTGAAGTAAAAACATTGGCGACATGCTCACCAGTGGTATGAATCGGTTTTAGCTCTCTCCGAAGGCTAGTGACTGCATCGCACCAGCCCGCATACGCAGATGCGCGACGTTCGGGTGAACGAGCTGCGCTCGATGTGGTAGCGTGAAGTTGTGGCTCCATCGCGGACAAAAGTCGTGGACGCCGTATTAGGTTGAGTAAGGAAACGGTTACTCTAGCACAGTTCAGAGAACACAATTGAGCTGCAATTGAGACGCAGAAGGTAGCGTAAACTTGTTGTGCAGAGAGTCAAAGTCAGACATCAACGGTGTAAGTTTATTGAATTGCACGTGACTACGGCATAGGGGCCGTCGAGAGTCCGTCGAGTTTTAAGTTGCAACGTTCTGCAACCTGCTGCTGCCTGCATCGTACAACTTTTCTTGACGGGGCTATGTCCCTAGTATACTCGACGCCTCCAAAACCCTTCAGAGATTGGCGCAAACAAGTTTCTGGGGATTCGCACGCGACGTAAAAGCAAGGCGAACTCCGCGAGACCGCGCTTTCACGTCCAACGCCTCCGGTCAGGCATATGATACGACACGATAGTGCATGCACATATCGGGAGCCGAGTCGCATACTGCGACTCGTGTAGTGTTAATCTGCTTGCCTGGACATATCTCTCAGGCAAGTCTGTGATCGCAACTCGCGTCTTGGTTCTTGCAAGGTTCAGACGATTGAATATACGCACGCCGTACTCGTATGCCATCACCGACTGCACGTGCGCGATACTCGATTTATACCCTCATATACCACCGATGTGCGCCCCTCCTTTTCCTCGCAGTCAATGCCGGCCACTAACGTTCCCTTTTTCCCTAGCTATCGAGATTGAGGTTGGCGAAACTTGAGAGAGATCCGCGAATGCGATAATCTCGCTAATCGAAGGCCGCCGGCTCCGGGCCACTGTGATCAACATAGAAGCTAATATGCATCGTGTCGTGGGCCTTGGGGCTGGAAGACAGGACCGTGGCTGTAACTGGCAATCAATATGACGAGAGATCGCTCAATGTACGGTCACCCATAGGCGAATGCATCTTGATAAGGTTCGCAATCAGGCCGAAGGCACAGGAACATCGAACCGATTGTGTGCGTTCTACAGTGAATATTACATGACGAGATCGCTAGCGACAGACAGAATATAATTAATCGTCGTAAAAAATGCATGCCGGTAGCGGGAGGGGCACGCTACGCGTCCCGTTTACAATGTTGGGATTGGCCTCGCTGTCGGAGGGTCTGACCTCCAGTTCTTCGACAGGTATCCACCGATAATAGTCGAGTATCAGATGTCGCCATCCCCTAATGTCTGCATCCCATTCGACCATCTCGTCCCTTGCGGCATTGACGAAGACGGGCGACCCATCCTCAAATCCCTCGTGGTGGGTCGACTTCACGCCAACAACCCACAATGGTAACGACCGCATGGCCCTGATGAGGCAGTTCTCGCATCGCCCCATCTCTACGTGCCACCCCTCCAATGCGTCGAAGACCACCGGAGTTATGTGACGAGATTGGGTTCTAAACTGCTTTGCAAACACCCTGCGACGTCGCGGGCGACGCGATACAGGCAGCGTGGGCTCGAGAACGTACCCGCGGTCGTGATCGTAGAGTTTAGAGATGACGATGCTCTCCCGCTTGTGCCATCGGATCTCACCTGCGTCGTCGTCGTCGTCGTCGTCTTCCTCTTCCAACGGACGTTCGTCCCAGTCTCGAAACGGCACACCATGCGCGTCAATGCCAATGCGAACTTTGGGCCGCAGGAACTTCGTTTTGTCGATGCGTCTCCTTTGTACGAGAGTCGGTCGGCATGTGCAACCACCGATGTTCCCCCGGTCAGAAAGGGCCTTGACAAGAGCACGGCTGTCTGTAGCGGAGTATAACCCGCAGGTATCCGTTGAACCAACGGTCTGTGTCGGTCTTGAGGCGGCGATGCCCGTCTTGATACTGGGTGGTTTCGGAATCGCGGGTTGTGGCAGTCTGAGATCTTGAGGCGAGGCGTCACCATCGATATAGTTGCTGATATCAGTAGCGTTAGCAGATGAAAATCAGATAGTGTAATAGTGGACATACGGTGTAGGTATAACGGCATTGTTTCTCGAGGCCTCCTGGCGCAAGGTTGGAGTCGGGCGATGGGCGCTGATCATATCGATGTCCTGTACAAGGTTCTTGACACTGGCAGCAGCTAGCGTTATCGTCTCATGCGTCTCCGCGACGAGTCTCCGGGCGTCTTCGGCCTCGCACCGCATCTTGTGCACTTCCGCCGCCATACGTCTGGTACGCTTTCTCCTTGGCCCCGATGATGGGCGCGATACTGTCGTCTTCACTGGCGGCACATCGTCCCCGCGACGACGCTTGCGACTTTCTTTGGCAACGTCGGGAGACCGAGTTCGTTTCTGAGCTCGCGCTGCGCGTGGCGGGTTTCTTCGGACGACTGGCGCGGCGTCGGGGGGTGCAGCGGATGGTTCGTGATTCTAGGTGGCAGTGAGCACCTAGTTCATCCGAACTAAGAAAAACTATAGTCATGCTCACCAGTGGTATGAATTGTTGTGGGCTCTCTCCAAAGGCTAGCGACTGCATCGCGCCAACCCGCATAGGCGGATGCGCGACGTTCGGGTGAACGAGCTGCGCTCGATGTAGCAGCGTGAAGTTGTGGCTCTATCGCGGACATAAGTCGTAGACGCTGTTTTGGGCTGGTACGGCAACGGTCACTCTAGCACAGTTCAGAGACCACAATTCAACTGCAGTTGAGACGCAGAAGGTACCGCGATTGTGCAGAGACATCAAGTCAGACAACAACGTAAGCTGCTGTAAGTTCATTGAATAGCACGTGACTATGGCATGTAGGCGGCCCGTCGGCAACGTTCTAATCGACGATCGACGGATCGTGCAGCTACATGTCCTCACTACGTCCCTAGTATGCTCGACGCCGTCAAAATCCTACAAAGAATGGCGCATGAGAGATCCCGTAGATCCACATACGACATAAAAGCAAGAGAAACTCAGCGAGACCGCTCCACCGCTCCGTCTGCAGAATCAGGACCTTCCCCAGTGAGGCATCTGACACAACATGATAGTGCATACATATGTGTATTCGGAGCCAACTCGCATACTGCGACTTGTCAGCGTGAAGCCGCTTGTCTGGCCATATCTCTCAGCCTTCGAGTGAACGCACAGGTGAAATTCACCTGTTCTCAACGCCCCCGTGAGACTCCTGCCAGACGCTTTCATCGGGTGGACGGCACGGATTTGATTTGATACAAAGACCTATCATATACTAGATACATGAACGGTCGCCCTAAGTTTTGTGAAGGAGTATCCGACAATTCCACGTATCCAGTTATTGGCGCACTTACCAGTTTGCCAACCTTATGAGCAGTGTGCAGTACTCAACACGAACGTTGGGCAATGATGCAGCCGATTCGGTGCATGAATGTACAGCAGAACAAGAATTATAGATTCAATCAGCGTAGACAATCAACGCCCGACGGGGTATAGGGTCGCTACGCGTCCCGTTTACGATGATAGCATTTGCTTCGTTGTCTGAGGGTCGGATCTCTAGCTCTTCAGCCGGGATCCACCGGTAATGGTCGAGGACCAAGTGTCGCCATCGTCTCGTGGTCTCATCCCATTCGACCAATTCGTCCCTGGCGCCGTTCAGGAACACAGGGTTCTCATCTTCCCATTGTTCCAGTATGGCGAACTTCACGACCCACAGAGGGAACGAATGCATGGCCCTCACGATGCAGTTCTCGTAACGACCGACTTCGATGTACCACTGTTCGAGCCCGTCGAGGGCGTTACGGGTGATGTGCCGAAACTGGACTCTAAGCTGCTATTGCGGGTACTCTGGAACGTCGCGGACGCGGTGTCACCGGTAACGCAGGTTCGCGAATGCGGCCTCCATGGCGCCGGTCATCATACAACAAATTTTGGATAGTTCTCTCTTTGGCGAGCATGCGAGGATCATCCAGCTCCATGGACCGCTCGTCTTCGTTGTCGGGAAGAGGGCAATCAGTCCAATCCCGAAATGCCAATCCCTGCGCATCAACGCCAATGCGAGGCCTGGGCCGCAGGAACTTGGTTCTGTCGATGCGTCGTTGTTGAATGCGAGTCGGTCGACATATGCATCCATCGTGTTTCCCTTCGCCTGACACATCGAAGAGGTCACTCTCTACTCAAGTTAGTTCAATGAATCGCACGTGACTATTGGACGGGCAGCGCCGAGCTGCCGTCGGCGTTAGCTGCCGTTGGATTGCAACGTTCTGCAACCTGCATCGTGCAGCTTGATTGGACCTCGTTATATCTCTGGTATGCTCGAAGCCGTCAACATTCCTCCAAGGATCGGCGCATGAAAATCCCCGGAGATCCGCTCGCGACGCAAAAGCAACACGGACTCGGTGAGGCGGGGCCTTCTGTCACACCCAACGCCGTCCCGTCTGCATAAGCGGGGCCTCCCTCGGTTGGGCCATCTGACATGACAAGATAGGTGCATATCGGATGCCGACTCGCGTACCGCGGCTCGTGAGTGCTAAGCCGCTGTCCTGGACATATCTCTCAGGGAAGTTTGTAATCGGAACTCACGTCTTGGTCCCAAGCGCATATGGCCTTGTTGCGGAACGGTCAGGTGCGGTTTCTGCCAGTCTCTGCATCTCTCGGCGCTGCATTCTCTCTCATCAGGTGACACGTTATAAGGGATGGCACCGAGGCTAGGGTGCGTAGATAGACGGTGCATATGAAAAGAAGCCTGACCTGTCTGTGGGGAAATGCAGGGAAGCGGCGGACTGGGGCTGAGGAAACATCATCAACCCGGACCAATGCGCGTATATATGAACAAAGGTTCCCGCCCTCAAAATTACCTCCTCATTAGCGTCTCGAGCTGCCCGCTTCTGATCGTCGTCCCTCTCCTCATAGTCCGGGAATCGTCGCCATGCCTTTCCGCACCGATTTAAGCACGGAACCGCCAGCGAGGGCCGGGCAGAGCGACACCTATGCGGATAATCTCGAGGTCGACGTCCTTATCGTCGGGGCCGGCTTTGGCGGAGTCTACCTGCTGCACAAACTCCGCGACGAGTTTGGCATGAAGGTGAAGGTCGTCGAGGCGGGAAAGGACCTTGGCGGGATCTGGTGAGGCTGTTTTTTGGGACCGCTTCACGGGATGATGTCTGATCGTCGAGGAATAGGTACTGGAATTGCTACCCTGGCGCGCGCGTCGACTCGATGGTTCCGGTATACGAATACAGCATGGAAAAGCTATGGAAGGTCAGCGCCGGCCGTACGACAGCCGAGAGGACGCGCGACTGACCGTTTGCCCCAGAACTGGAACTGGACGGAGAAGTACCCGGACTGGGCCGAGCTGCGCAAGTACTTCGACTTTGTCGACAAGCAGCTCGACATCAAGAAGGACGTCGCCTTCGACTCGAAGGTCGTCGGCGCGCGGTTCGACAAGGCGTCGCAGAGATGGGTCACGAAGCTGGAAGACGGCCGGACGGCGTACTCCAAGTTGTTCATCTGCGCCACCGGGTTCGCGGCGAAGCGGTATTTTCCCGATTGGCCCGGTCTGGACACGTTCAAGGGTATCATGCACCACTCGTCGTTCTGGCCCAGCGAGGGCGTCGATGTCGCCGGTAAGCGAGTCGCGGTCATCGGCACCGGTTCTACCGGCATCCAGATCGCGCAGGAGACGGCGAAGACGGCGAAGTCCGTCACCGTGTTCCAGCGCACGCCCAACCTTTGCCTGCCAATGCGTCAGGAGAAGTTGACCAAGGAGGCGCAGGAGGCGCAGAAGAAGGATTATCCCGAGTTCTACAAGAACCGCATGACGACCTTCTCCGGCTTCCCCATGGACTTTGTCGATCGCAACACGCTGGACGACACCCCTGAGCAGCGCGAGGCGTTCTTCGAGGAGCTCTGGCAGAAGGGCGGATTCTGGTTCTGGCTGGGCACGTACAAGGACATGCTGAAGGACGAGAAGGCCAACGACGAGGCGTACAAGTTCTGGGCGAAGAAGACGCGCGCACGCATCACCGATCCCGTCAAGCGCGACATCCTCGCGCCGCTCGAAAAGCCGCACCCGTGGGGGACCAAGCGCCCCTCCCTCGAGCAGAACTTTTACGAGATGCTGGACCGGCCGGAGAACGAGGTGGTCGACGTGAAGAAGACGCCGATCGTCGAGGTGACCGAGAAGGGCGTCAGGACCGCCGACGACAAGGAACGCGAGTTCGACGTCATCGCCCTCGCCACCGGTTTCGACTCCTTGACGGGCGGGATGAAGAGCATGGGCCTGAAGGACGTCAACGGCGCGGACCTGAGCGAGAAGTGGAAGAACGGGACGTACAGCTACCTCGGCATGACGTTGTCGGGATTTCCCAACCTGTTCTACCTCTACGGCGCCCAGGGCCCGACGGCGTTCGCCAACGGCCCCAGCTGCCTCGAGAGCCAGGCAGGCTGGATCCTATCCGCCATCGCGAAGATGAGGAAGGAGGGCATCAGCTACATCGAGCCTACGACGGCGAGCGAGCAGGAGTGGCACGACAAGATCCAGACGATCAGTAAGACGACGCTCTTCCACAACGTCGACAGTTGGTACATGGGCGCCAACATCCCTGGTAAACCGCGAGAGCAACTGAGCTTCTCGGGCGGGCTCCCGCTCTACACGCAGGAGTGTCGCAAGGTGCTGGACAACGGGTTCGAAGGCTTCGTGACCGCATGAAAGGCTAGATGAAAGTAGATTTGGCGTCGGTGACTTATCATGGTATACATGAAGTGTAACATACTGTATTCAATCTATATGATTCACGCGTTCTTGGTTGGAGGACTCGCGGTACGAGACATATGTTGGGAATAATATGACGAGCGTGCGCGCCTAGTCGGGGAGGCAGCCGTAGAAGCCCGCAAATATTGCTGCACAGCTTGTTCAGTGTCTTCATCCGCCTGTGCTCCCTCCCGAACGCCACCACGCTGCCGCAGCTGATCCTTCGAGGAGATGCTGCGCAGAATTGCGCATGCCGGGCAGACGCGGGCAGGGAACGTCGTGGCGACAGCTTTACCGCCGAGCACGCCCAGAAATTCAAGTTCTGCTTTCTTGATTGTACGACGACATATAGAAAGCACATTGTTGGACCGGCCTTCGTATCGTCCTCGGTGGGACGCGTCTTTGTTTTTGTTTCGCACGTAGATATCGGGATCGACGTAAGTCAGGACCGCCAGTCAGCATACGCCTCCTCGGATCAGCGGGCACTGCGGTCGGTGCGACTGTGCTCTCTTTCGCTTCGCCATCCGCCACCCACCACCCAGGAGCCTAGAGTGTCGCTTTCGGCAACATAAGCGGAGCGGTTGTGACCAATACAACGCAGGCTGTATATAATCTCGAAACTGCCCTCGGGACCAGCCCATCCTCCTCCAAGGCTCCAGTACTCGATATCCAGCAAATGATGACACTGGTGAACATCCTCGCCGGTTCAGCCGCCAGCATCGTCGCATACGTCGTATGGCGCGCCCTCGCCGAGATTTGGGAGAGAAAACGATCTCCGCTGCGCAAGCTCCAGGGACCCGCGAGCCCTAGCTGGGCGTTCGGTAACTTTGCCCAGTTGCTCACCGGCGACACCGGACGCCTGCAAGACAGCTGGTTGCAACAGTATGGCAAGACCATGAAGGTCTCCGGCTTCTTCAACGTGAGCCCGTCCCAGTTCTGCGCCCGTCCAACGACCCGCAGAGCTGACGCCTCCTTTCGCCATATAGCGCGACCGGCTGTTCACCGTCGACCCCCGCGCGCTGAACCACATCCTGACGCACTCTACCGACTTCCAGAAGCCCGAGGTGGGTCGGTACAACCTCGGCCGCATCGTCGGCGAAGGGCTGCTCATCGCCGAGGGCGACGCGCACCGCCGCCAGCGCCGCGTCATGAACCCCGGCTTCGGGCCCGCCCAAGTCCGGGAGCTTACCGGCGTCTTCCTCGACAAGGCCGCGCTGCTGCGCGACGCGTGGCTCGCGGAGGCGCGCAAGAACGGCACGGCGGCGCCGACTCGGATCGACGCGCTCGCGTGGCTCAGTCGGGCGACGCTGGACATCATCGGCCTCGCCGGGTTCAACTACAGCTTCGACTCGCTCGAGGGTGGAAAGCCGAACGAGCTCAACGAGGCGATGGCGACCATGTTCAGCGCGACGGAGGGGTCGCGCTTTTGGACGCTCCTCCAGGCTCGCATCCCGATCTTGCGGAAGATCGTGCGTCCCGCGATCCCCTCTTTACGACGAAGGTTGGCTAATCGTACCTTGGCAGCCGACCGAGCGTGATCGTACTATCGAGTATGCACAGAACACGATGAAGCGCATTGGCTATGCCCTCATCTCTGAGCGAAAGGCGGCTATCCGTGCCGAGAAGCACGGTGCGCACGTCGAAAAGGGCGACGTACAAGGTAGCTCCCCTCGTCATGGTCGACCTTGGTCCCCATACTCAGATTGCCTTGACCAGGACGTGATCTTCTCAGTCTCCTGATCAAGTCGAACATGGCGGTTGACATTCCTGAAGAGCAACGTCTGAGCGACCATGACATCCTTTCTCGTGCGTCCTTAATTCATTCATCTTATCACTCGACCTGCTTCATCTGACTGACCTGCATGCAGAGATCCCGACGTTCATGGTCGCCGGCCACGAGACGACATCAACCGGCACCACCTGGGCCCTCTTTGCGCTCACTCAGAACCAAGATGTCCAACGCAAGCTCCGCGAGGAATTGCTCTCCGTACCGATCGACACCCCGACCATGGACGAATTGAACGCGCTACCCTACCTCGACGCCGTGATCCGGGAGACGCTGCGCGTGCACGCCCCAGTGAGCGCCACGACTCGGGTCGCGATGAAGGACGAGGTGATTCCAGTCAGCGAGCCCTACACGGACAAGGACGGCAACGTCCACCACGAGATCCGGTACGTCAACCTGTAGCGATGCTGGCAGTACACGAAGCTCATGTTGAGCGCGCAGAGTCAACAAGGGCGACTACATTCAGATCCCTATCGTCGCCGTCAACCGCGCTAGCCATATCTGGGGCAGCGATGCGCATGAGTTCAAGTATGCGCCTCCGTTTTTGCGACATTCCCCAATGTTAAACCTCTTTTCAGGCCCGAGCGTTGGTTGGAGCCAAGCGCGATGCCTGAAGCGCCCTCGCACAACCCCGGAGTTTGGGGCAACATGCTCAGCTTCCTCGGCGGCCCGCGCTCCTGCATCGGCTATCGCTTTTCTCTCGTCGAGTACGTGATCACTACTGTTTATTCTGATCCTTAGAAAAGGCCCGAAAGCTGACATTCCCTCATCCTCATCCGTTGCACAGGATGAAAGCGCTGCTGTTCGTCCTCGTGCGCGCGTTCGAGTTCGAGCTCGCCGTGCCCGCCAGCGAGATCTCCAAGAAGTCGGCCGTGGTGACGCGGCCGAACGTCAAGAGCGAGCCTAAGAAAGGGAACCAGCTCCCGATTCTCATCAAGCCATACGTTGCCGACGCTGAGGCGTGATCTTTTGGGGTGTATGGGATCAAGCAGGATTACACTCTTCACCAGGACTTTACTGTAAGATAGCAAGAGATACCCGAGAAATGGAGCGTCTTTCCCGCACATGGGCACCACTCGGGAACGCGTATCTCACGTGGACTTCGGTGGATGCGCTCGGATTGCCTTGCTATCGTCTCGTATACCACAACTTCAAGCGAGCCGTCATCCTCATACAGGGCCACAGCTCAGAGAACCAGTGTACGTGAGGAGCACGGAGGTATGCATTGTCGTTGGACACCTCGGGCATGCCGCGTACAGACCTCCGAGCGCACGCGAAGTGTTGCATGCGAGGGTATGTGGATTGCGGCATCAGATATAAGTATCATGCGTGATATATTCGGTACTGTTCAGCAGACATGCGAGTGGCATGCAGTTGACAGGTCGCCCGTCAGTCCAGCCTATCCTCTAGAAGTGATCGGGGTATATGTATGCGCGGTCCGAACCGATAGAATCAGGAGAGAGAGAGGGAGCCAGCGCATGAAGTTACACGACGTGAGAGAGGTAGAGTGGGTGGGATGCACCTGAATCTGGCCGATGTCGAGGAAGGGAAAAAATCGTCGATAAAGCCCTGTTCGGCTGATTGTCGAGATCCATAGCGGCCTTCACGTCAACGTCGTCTTCGGTTTCTTGATGCGGTCGGAACGCCTCAACTTCCTTCGCTTGCCGTCGTCGCCAGCAGACTCAGCGTCAAAGTCGGATTGAGACTCGGTAATGTGCGATGATGGCGCCTCAAGGTCCGAGAGTGATCGATCTCCTAACCAAGTGTTACCGCCAACGATAAGCCCGTACGCGCTGTCCGACTCAGCGGGCGGCGAGGAGCAGAATCCGGAGGGCAGAAATCCGGGGCTTGGGAGCGAAGTAAGTTTCGTCCAACCGCTGCCGGGTTCCCAGTAGATGGGGCTATGAGGACCAGCCATCGAAAAGCCAGAATCATCTTCCTCTCATGTTTCGTGATAAGAAGTGCCGGGTTCAGTAGGGGTGAGTTCTCGTTGGCTAGCTGGGCACCGAGCCAGAGAGGTAGCATCGGAAGGAACTCGGGCGTTGAGTAGCACGTCCAGGCCTACTGATGACTGGCGACTGGCGCCGTTGCAGTCGATTAAACGACGGGAAGAGTAGAAATCACGCTCGAAGTAGGGTTTTTCAGTCATCGCACGTAATATAAGACTGACTAGGAATACGTTGCTGCTCCGACCCATTGACAATCTTAGGATCAGCCTCATTGTCGCTGGGCCTCTCCACAAGATCTTCGACTGGTATCCATCGGTAATGATCCAACACCAGATGCTGCCATCGTTTCTCGCTTTCGTCCCACTCCGCCAGCTCTCCCCATGTATAGTTTTGAAAGACGGGATTACCGTCCTCGAAACTCTCGGCAGCATCCGATCCGATGATCCATGGCGGAAAGGTTCGCAGTGCCCTAACGATGCAGTTTCCGCACCGTCCCCTATCGAGATGCCAACACTCTAATTCGTCCAGGACTCCGTGAGGTATATGCTGGAACTGGAGTCTGAACTGTGTCGTCGACACCCTCGGTTGCCGAGGACAGAGGCGCTCCGGCCTAGTGATGCCTTGATAACGAGCTGAACCTTGGCCGTCCATGTGTAGCATAATTCGTAGGACGCGCTCTCGCCGTACGCATGGTTCCGGACGTTTGAGTCCCATTGGGCAAGGACTCCAATCTTGATATCGCACTCCGTGAGCGTCCACGCCGATGCGCGGTCTCGGTCGTACGAACTCGGTTTGGTCGATCCACATTTGTTGTTTTGCCGTCGGTCGGCACGTACAGCACGATGCGTTCCCCTCAGGCAAAGCGTCGACGACCGCGTCGAACAAGGAACGCAGGTCTTCACTCGAGAAGCGTTTACTGGGTTTCCCGCCGTCACTTGATCTCCGTCCAAGCGCAACGATCATGGCCTTCACATCAGGCGCCTGTTCCACGTTCGCATCCTCGCCCTGCGACGTATGTTTGCCCGTATGGGAACTACCTCCAGTAACATGAGTATGCGTATAAGGCAGGTTTACAAGGCGAAGACGCACGGCTTGGATTGAGCGACATCGTTCCCGTGAATGCCATTCGCCGGAGTCTCCGCACGGCGCACTTCGGACATGATGTCCTTCAGCATGTCCTTGACGCTCGTCGTAGCGCGAGTCATCGCTTCCTCCGTCTCTGTAACAATCCTACGGACCGCATCCGCTCCGTCCCGCATCTTTACGAGCTTGCCCAACGCGCGTGCACCGACCCTGGTCCGTCTTGACCGGGGGTGAAGGTCTTCCCCTCGACGCCGTTTTGAACGTGTTTCCTCAATCATAGGAGGAGGCCGTTTACGGGGACGAAGGGAACGAGTTGGGGGATCGACCCCTGGAATTGCGTGGTTCGACGCCTGTATCCGTGGTGAAGCGGAGGGTTTGAACGTGCTGGCTGGGAGGGATGTCTTAGATGACGAGGCGCGTGTTTTAGGGGCCATCTCAATGCGTATATCGAGCGCAGTATATGTGTTGTGTATCGTGTATCGCCTATACATACGCCATTTGGTACTGAGTACTCGTTCGGGGCGTCGTGATACATGACGTGCACTCACCGTATACTCCAAGCGCACTCATCACAACAGTGCACCAGCCTATGCTCGACGATCAGGTGGTGTGTTTTCTAGCCGCGCAACGACTTCGTGGTCGAGACTCTAGCTCTACCTCTAGCTTCCAGCTTCACGGCTAGGACCAGGGCCGAGTGCAAACAGTGAGAGATAGAATATCAAGCAGAGATACAGGTTGATATAATCGGGGAGGACAGGTTCACACAGCGGGTACTAGTCGATCAGCACGCGTACGGGTTGAAATTATTAGGGGGGCTCAGAGTTGGGATTCTGGCAAGGATTCAAGGACGGATTCAAGAGTCGATTCTGGACGCCGATTCTGGGTGGATTGGTGAAGCGGCTCTGGAGTCGCTTCACTCGATTCGACCAGAGTCCGATTCAGCTTCATCGCGTCGCTGCCTCGGAGTCCGAACCCACTGACGCGTCACGAGGTTTTCCAGGGTCTTCCACCCCCTCGTTCAGGCAATCCTCAACCTGTGTTTTACTCCTGTATATATATGTACTCGCGCAGAGGCTATCACCAGGACCCTCGACATACCATTGTATCAGCAGTTTATGGGCAGAAGTAAATTGCATTTGGTAGTTCCGCATAGCAACACTCCTGACGCCTATTTAAGCCAATAGTTATTTCACTCTTCTGGCTGCAAATAAACCTCGGACATACATTGTCGACTCGAGCTTAAAACAAAGAAACTGTCACTCACGTTATAACTCGACCTTCACATTCAATTCCAGAGTTTTGGCCACCTCGGATGAGCTGCCGATATGCCGAGCCCGTCGTTGAAACTCAGATAGGCATGCCGCAGGTTCGGCAGGATATTACATCGTGCACAGAATCGGGCCAGAATCAGTGGTAGAAGCGGGGGGTTCAGAGTTGAAGGTGAGGAGAATCGGATTATGACCGTCGTAGCGACGGCAAAATCGACACAGAATCGACACAGAATCTGGGGCAGAATCGGCGCAGAATCGCCAACTCTGAACCCCCCTATTGATTGACCATGGTTGACGAACTCTTGTTACGGATTCGTCGCCCAATGCGAGATAATGCACGTGATACAGTGAATTCCGTTACATATGTGCATGCCTGCATTTTGTCCCAACGAAAACAAGGTCGCGAACTCGAAAGATGCATCACAACCAAATATCCGAGTGCTATACTTGAAGTTTACGGCAGACATCGGTCGACTCGAACATATAATGACACAGGCATACTGCTCAAGATGTACCGGATGGTACCGCCGACAATTTTGGGATCCATGTACACTGCACTCTCATGCACGGTGGAGGGCATTCATGCATGAGAGTGCAGTGTACATGAAGTCCAAAACAACAAGCTCAAAAAATCGGAGACGGACAGCAATAACAGGTTCGATCAGGCCGTTCAGCGCGGCAACCACAACGAGCTCCTTTCTTAGGACTGAAGCTGTGACGACGGGTAAGCTTTGTAAGCGAAGTGTAGTCACACGGTTTAGAGTTCCTCAGAGTTCACACAATAGACCGGGGTAAGTCTCGTTGAGTGCGCAGGAGAAAGCTAGAGTACATGATCTTTTGTACTCTACTTATATACTACGGAGGCCCTACGTGTCAGTCATATTTTATAGGGCGTAATACGTGTCTTTCGGTGGGGGTTTTATCACGACTCGAGTGCACGTTCGTCAGGAGAGTCTCTGTCGGGGCGAAGGTCCGATGGTGGCGCTACATACGCCCTTCCAAAGACCAAAGGTCTTATGTTACAATCGATCGTGCACTCGTTCAAGAAATTTCTCGGTACTTCCTTTTTAGTAGCAAGGGCGCTCATCCGTCATTGAGTCGCGTACCGCGTCAAGCATGATGCGCTCGCGGATCTGAGCGTCGGTGATGCGAGGAGGCCGGTAGTAGAAGGACTCGTATCGATCAGGCAGGCGATTACCGCTATGGTAACGATTGACGGAGCCGGACTATCGGCGAGAGGAGCGATCCTCGGTAGGCCGGCGAGAAGGCCCGGCCTGAGCAGGCGGTCGACTGCTATGTTTGCTAATCCGCCGCTTACTCTTGAAGACCAGGCATACGTCCGATGTGAAAAGAATCGGACGAGGGGATGGCCCATTGATAGTGTACTTCGTATCGTTATCGGTCCTAGCGAAGGCCGAGAACGCAGCCTTAGCACGTGGGACGAGAAGGTTAAACGTCGTGGCCGCAAAGGATGAGTAATCGTCGGGTGCCTGGACATCATCAGGAACGGCATGACGTCGGAGTTTGTCGTCGAAATTAAGAACACGATTAAGATTGTCGTGTGGAATGGTCTCGACGTGAATTGATCCGTCGTCCTCGATGAGCCGGAGATGGAAACTAACAGTAGATTTCTTGAAGAAAATAAAATACCCCAGCGTGATGTAGTCGTCGCGAGGGATAAAAGATTCATCTAGAGCGAGAGGGTCGTGTATGACGGTAGGGGCATTATTGCCGGAGGGAGCAGTAGGCTGGGAGGGATCGACAACATCGATGCCGATATTGGCAAGAGCTGCGGCGATGGAGGAGGTGTCAACCTCGTCAGTGCCGTGGGCGGTCGGTGCAGCTCCAGCGGAAGCGGAGGAGTCGGTTGTTCCAGCGGAAGCGGAGAAATCGACACCAAGAAGGCTAACATATGCTGGATCGACTGGCGCCGGTGAGATGGCAAACACGGCAGGATTAATGCCGAGAGCATTATCGCTAGCGACAAAGTTAAGCTCACCATTCGAAATGATGGGAGAGTCACTATAGTCGATAATCTCATCCAGAAGCATACTATCGGAGGAATCAAGATCGTCGGCCATCGAAGATCTTTTAGGTCGGGAATATTGTCGGTGATAATGATCTCGTAGGCGGGCTTTTGTGCAGTGGGACTTATTGTGAGAGTCAGCCATCTTATTGTTGTTTTTATACAAGCCCGAGCCCAGTCCATTGCCTGCAAGCTCGAAACGAATTGAACGTGCGCCGGCATAGACTTGAGGATCGTTGGAAGGGGGATTTCCTTTTCCTTCGGTAAGTTCCGACGACGCGGATACTCCTTGAGCGTCTAGATAATGTTGTAACTGCTCAAATCCCTCGACTTGGGATATTGGTAGCCAGGTAACGTTGCCTGCCTTCCACCGGACTTCAAAAATAGCATTCATACCGCGTCCCTTATGTGATAGGATTTTATCAATGGCCCATTCGTCGGCACTTTCTTCAAAGTTTGCCACTTGATTCTCCGCTCGTCCCGGAAATAGAC